TATGCCTCAGCTTGCTTGCATCAAGTATATAAAGCCTTCTCCAGCAAGGTCATGTAGAACTAACGGGCAAGAACTATCAACAGCAGTTGCAATCAAGCACTCAGTTTCTCTCAAATCAATCATTCCACCATTTTCACATCCTTGCAACAATCAACTACATTCTCACCACCATGCCTCTCACTCCATTGAATGGCCTCTACAGATCCTTCAAGGCCAGACAGACTAGCAAGGCCAAATCTGATGAATACGTCAAACCCACGGAGAATCACGTCGAAGACTCCGCATCTGTTCTCAGCGACGCAACTACCCTGGCTCAGAGCAAGACTAGGCCCCAGAAGACGGCCTTTTCCCAGCAGGGCCCGGATAGCATCGACTACGGTTCTACTCAATACTGTAAGTACGTGACCTTTCACAGATAGTTAGCTGCTCAGTTTTAAACTGACACGACATGATATAGCTATGAGGGGCATGTCCACACGCGCGTTATAGTGTTGGCAACAATTTTTACGAGGGATACGACCTACTCGGTATAGAACGGGCTGCGTGGTGGATATGCATGAAGCTTCCATTGATTGGATTATATGTAATACTTAATATCTGGTTGCACTTGACGAGGGAGTTACTTTCTATTTTTAATTATATATGTATAGTTGATACAGACAGGTTTGGAAGCTCTATCACACAGCCCTGTATTGGATAGTTCGATGTGTATAATTCACAACCCAGCCGCAGGCTTAAGGAGAACGAGCCTTTGGACCGAACACTGGCATATCGGGAGATCCCTTGTAGTAGGAAATAGTGGATAGTAGAAATACGTCATAAACCTATCTAAGAGCAGGCCCCCTCACTCTCAGTCAACTCAATCAGTTGAAGACCCAAGGATGTGAACCATCTCATATTTTGCAGACTTCACCAGCCAAAAAACAACCCCAGCTGCTGGATGATGAGCTAGTCTGTCTCTGCACGTCAACACACGGCCTCTTTATTTGGCACACCCCAGCTCCTCATTGGTGATGGTGGCCATATTCTTGGGCAGTGGCTTATTCTTGGATTTTCCGACAACGGTCAGGGGGCCGGATTGACCGCGCAACCTTGATAAGTTATCACGTAATGCATACAGGCGTCACCGGGCTCGTAACCAGTGAATAAACTCACAGTTTGCAGAGTAGACCATCAACCTCAGCTGCGCACTAGTCGACTCTTTTTTTGCTAGCTCCCACATCAACCGTGGACATGTTTTCTTCCGGCTGATTGGTCCACTTTCATTGCTAAAGATTTATCACGTGTTCGTAGATGAGAAAGCAGACTACTATGATGTATATCGATATCGCTCATGATTGAGGTCTCAATTTAAGTGCTACCAACGTTGTGCAGTAAACCTCTAAGCTACTACAGCTCATCCCCTCCCAGAATGCTGAACCCCTCCTGGTCCTCAGCACCACCGCTACCCTCGACAACATACCAATCCTTTACGGTCGCAGATCCGTTCACAACGGTCTCCCAAACCTCCGGAGTACACGTCCCGGGACTCAGGACATAGCACTGCGGCTTTGGCATAACCGGAGGAATATTCTTGATATGCCACGTATCCTTGGGTCCAATCGTCTGGAAATTATCGCCAACAGCTAAGAGGCCAGTCGGGATATCCTTGTTGAAAGTCGCCCGCATGAAGATCTCATACGCTGCGACAGGCTGGTAGGAGGGGACCTCGTGCCCGGCTTGAAAGACGCGAGTGAAGCTGTAGTTGCCCAGCTGGCGGGTCATACCGCTGATCCCGTCGGGCGTAAGAAGTGGGGAGTATCCCGTGTCGGCAAATTCAGTAATTCGCGAGTAAGGGACTGCAAGGCTGGCTTTTTCGCCCCCGACCCAATTGCAGGCGTAATCACGATCACCGTACATCATGTGCACTTTGACTCCGCTGTCGAGGAGGTAACCAATTGCATCCAGGAAGCCACCATGGACGATGTCAAAAGTATTTGTGAACTGTGTAGCCACGGCACTCGAAGACGATGTGAAGTTGACGGGTACCCCAAGAGCGGCCAGAACGGACTCCTGCGTCAAATACCCGAGCATGTGCTTGGCAGGGAATGGGTCGTTCTTAGGATGGGCAATGTCGTACCACCCACGATTGAAGGTGTGGTAGTAGGTGACGGGACCATCTCCCCATTCGAGTGCAAGACCTCCGCAAATTTCAGACACATTCTTCCTTGGGTGCGACAAGCCGGAATCACGTTCTTTCAGAGCCGCTTCGCAAGCAAGGGCCTGATCGCGGAAGCCTCCTGGATGTGTCCAGTTATACATCAGTTCTTCGTAGAGGGGTTTATCGAAGATCTCGAGGCCGTAGGTCTGGACAGAATTAGACAATATGCGAATTTAAATAAGACGAGAGTAGTCTTACATTATTGTACGGCCAAGTAATGTAAGCCTCTTCTTGGATCACCATATCCATCAAGCCATTCACGATGCCAAGTGTGTCGAGGTGCAAGTACTGTGCACCGTCTTCTGCAGTCCCCTCTGCAATTTTGTCATTCTGCTGTTGAAAGAACCGAAAAATACCTGGACCATAGTGGCCTCCGTAACTTTCAGCCCAGAGACTGACGCGATCATCATTGGGCTTGTAGTGTGGGAATTCAAAGAACCAGGTTTGCGCGAAATGCCATAGAGCATGAGCCGCAAATGCAGTCCCATTAGCTGTCTGTGCAAGCTTCTGGCTTGCAAAGGTACCAACATGGTGGGTGAAGTTGGACTGAGGAATATCAATGGAGAAATCACCGGAATGGATTTCTTCTTCGCCGTCGGCAGTCCGAACCAAAGTGCCATTGGTTGGGACATCGTATGAGAAGCCGACTTGGGTTGGCTGATCAAGGAATAGGAGATTGACTTCATTGTTCCAGCTCCAAGGATTGAGGACTGTGGTCTTGGAGTCCGATGCAATGGAACAGGGGCCTAATTCTTCGAGGAGCCCCATAAGCGATGAACCACCCGGACCTCCATTGAGCCAAATGGCCAGAGGCGCATTGCTAGGATCTTTGCGGGCTTCGAAAAACCAGAAGAAGCTGGTTGAGGGTCAAAGATCGCTCATTCGCCAACTTCTTCGACGTCTACTTACGTGTTGATGGGATAATCCTGAACTTCACCTGTCCCGTCGGAAAGGAAACCGGGGGGAAGGTGTACATAGCCCGAATAAGATCCGACACCCGGCGTGGTTTCACAAATTCCAGGCTGACAATCAGTACGGGGACGAGCATAAAATCCATTTCTCGGTCCTCTGTACACACCTCTTTGAAGGAAATCGTCACATTCTCATGCAACTTCGACTTGAGCACGGTGATGCCTTCGGGCTCGGGAGGAAATTGAGCGGTCGCTAGACCCAGGAGTCCCCCAAGCACCAGACTAGTCAACATGGTGAAGACGCTGAAGGCAATGATACTTCCAATATCACAGCCTGAGCTTTACTAGATATAACATGGACAACGGAGAAAGCACCAACATCGTGAGGGGAGAAAAGCGTGTAATACGCCGCATGACTAACTCGGAGTCGGAGCTAACGCTTATCAGGCCCTTGCGCCGGACTCCGTCGGCCGTGGGGAATGGCGTTCTTAGTGAGCGAATGGCGACATCCATCTAACTAAGATGGCAGATACGTAGCTGACAAAATGGGGCTACGTGCAGACGCTTCGGTGTTGGCGCATTGCAGAGCGGAACTGGTGATGGACTGACCAGCTTATCCAGCTCCGGCGAGCTTCACAAACTTGATAAATCAATAACAGATGAACGATTGGAGCAAATGCCCCACTCCTGGCTCAATGTCATAGGCCCGCTTGTAGTACTTTGTTTTCTTCTCATTCATTTGGGAGAGCAGAGATGGGTAAGTGGGCTAACGGGTAGAGATAGCGGATTAGGTAGGTAGCCTAACGGTCGGAGATTTCCCAGAGTTGGAGCACCCAGAGGACCCTTATTTAGCCTTTTATTGCGGTCAACTATAGTGTTGACTACTATAGTAGCTTTGGGGTGACAAGCTTCGTAAGCCGATCAACCGTTCGGAGTATCGATGCTCCGCAATACAGCGGGATCGTGTTTCAACTTTGCCTCTCCTGCGTTCCATGTTTGACAAGGCAGATGTCAGTTGGGGATGACGAATAAGGCGTCGGAGAACATCGCTTCCAAGTTTCACATCTTCCGTACGTCATGGAGAGCAGAGTGTGTTGAAGGTGGGTGTCACAGCCCAAGAACTACGACGGAAAAAAAAAAAAAAGTGTTGTATGCAAGGCATCCCTTTTCAGTTGTGAATTAGGGGGGAAAGATTGTGGATATATTTCCTATCGATAAGCACACAGTCTCCGCAAATATCGAAGACCCTGGCAGAAGAACCCTGGGTGCACGGAAGATATCCTTGGTTAACCAGACTCCACCCACTTTCCGAACGGGTATTGTGAGTTTCCTTATTGGTATGGTGCCAGCGATTGAAGCGATCAAAGTGGTTAGTGTGTTCGAGATAGACAGTGGGCATGTCTTAGAGCTCGGAGGACGGAGTAACGCCATCGGGATAGGATTTGACGCCTGGAGGGGCGATGACGCGGAGGGACGAGGCTGGACCCAAAGGGCCGCGTGGCCCTGGAGGCGATCGGCTGTTGCTCGACTGGTTGGGGTTACTATGTATAGTGTCTTTTTTTTCAGCTGCCATCTCAATGGGCATTGATCGGGGTGTGGCAGGACAAGATGACAATACGAATGCGTAAGAGAGGTAGATGATCGACGAGGATGAAAGAGACCCTGAAGACCGGGTGGACACTGTACAGTGTATAGAAGTTGGATGAACGTGGGCTGGGGAAAGTGGCTGGAGAGATGGAGAGAGAGAGAGAGGGAAGATTGAAGAGTGAAAGAGGGACGCCGATCAGGAACCCGAGCAGCAAACCAGAATTAGCGGCTGACGACCAGCGGGGCTCCACCAACAAAACAACGTCCAAACGGAGTCTCGCTGCGCTTTTCACCTGCCGCCGCTAAGCTTTTTTATTCTCCTTGCTGTCCTCTTCCTTTTCGTCGGTCTTCCTTCTCTTCTTCTTGTTCTTTTTCTTTCTTCTCCAGCAGCATTCTGCGGAGTTCCTCCTGCACCGGTTCCTGTCGGCCTCCCTTGTTCTCCCATCTCTCTTACGACCTCGCCAGTCCGCTCGTGTGCGACCGTCCATCATGGCTGCTAAATCCCAATTGCCGACCGTCAACACGCCTGTGTCCGCGGAGCCTTCCAAGGCCGCCATGCACCCGGCTTTCTACATCGCGTACGACTCTATATCTGTGGTGGCTGCCTTTGGAATGTTCATTAATGTCTCTCTAGTACCTGGATTGCTCTCAGTTCCGGTGTGATCATCTTCAACAAGTGGATTCTCCATACCGCTGGATTCAGTGAGTTGACACCCCATCTTCTGCGCTGTTGCAGTATGCGATCAATAGACTGACCGTCGTTACTTTTTCTCTTTCACAGATTTCCGTACGTCAATTCCAATCTTCATGCCGAGATAAACCGTCGCAAGCGACTAACCTGCTCCAGCCATCTTCCTGACCACATGGCATCTCGTTTTCGCTACCATCATGACCCGCCTCATGGCGCGGTTCACTACTTTGCTCGACTCCCGTCACCAGGTGCCCATGACCTCTCGCGTATACATGTCAGTGAAATCGTCGTGGAAATTACAATCAATGGCTGTGTCTAATCGGATATTGTCATTATAGGCGTGCCATTGTCCCCATTGGCGCATTCTTCTCTCTCAGTCTGATCTGCGGCAACCTCGCCTATCTCTACCTCAGTGTGTCCTTTATCCAGATGCTCAAGGTGAATACATTCCGACTCCATGTGCGAAACTCCCGCTAATGTGGTCAGGCCACCAACTCTGTGGCTACACTGCTTGCTACCTGGGCCATGGGCATTGCGCCGGTGAAGCTCAGCCTGCTCGGAAACATTTCTTTCATCGTCCTCGGTGTTATCATCGCCTCCATTGGTGAAATCAAGTTCACCATGATCGGTTTCATCTGTAGGTCTTCTACTACTTCCTGCGACTGGCCAATTTATTTACACTCGTCTAGGCCAGTTCTTTGCGACCATCTTCGAGTCCGTCCGTCTGGTCATGGTTCAGCGCCTGCTCAGCTCTGCCGAATTCAAGATGGACCCCCTGGTTTCCCTCTACTACTTCGCACCTGCTTGCGCCGTCATGAACGCCGTCGTCACTGCGGTTGTCGAGCTCCCCTCGCTGCACATGTCGGACATCTACCAACTCGGCATGGGTACTCTGTTCCTTAACGCCGCCGTTGCTTTTGGACTCAATGTTGCTGTCGTCTTCCTGGTATGCCATGCTAAAAATGAATTCGGCAGCATCAATTCGCTAATTTTTATTAGATTGGCAAAACCTCCGCCCTCGTCCTTACTCTGTCCGGAGTCCTCAAGGACATCCTCCTTGTCGTTGCCTCGATGGTCATCTTCCGCGATCCCGTTACTCCTCTCCAGGCCTTCGGATACGCCATTGCTCTTGGTGGTTTGGTGTACTACAAGCTTGGAAAGGACGGTGTCAACAACCTTCTGGCCCAGGTGCGGTACCAGCTGCTTGGTGGCCCCCGCCCCGAGAACTAGAGTCGACTGTACATAGGATTTGTGGGGAGTGGTAGTTGGTTGGCAGATATAGAACAACGTACATAGAATCGGGCAGGGCCCCAATTGTATCTTTATTATATGAGGTGTAACTGCGAGACGTGAGTGAGCATACTCCGTGGTCAGTGGGAGATGCCAGCATCTCTAGCCTAATCACTTCGCTATGTGCATGCATCATCTTTCCCGGATTCAAAAAATAAATGGCAATACTTGATACCATACAGCTGCGTACTGAAGTTGCCGGACGCGACGCGCTTGTTTGTTGCTCTTTTCGGGTGGGACCCGCCTTCTTGCCTGAGGCAGAAGGCGGGGATCCCACAGCATCTCATCTCCCTCCCCCACCAGCTCTTCTGACTCGCACACACACTTAGTTCCAGAGTCAGATCCTATGGTGTCACTTACATTTACTGATGAGAGACGAATATCCTACTGGGATACTCTTACAGTATGCCATTGGAGTATACCCCCATCGACTGCTATGTGATTTCCAACGAGCCGTTGAAATATATATACACTACTTACTGCTACTACCCTCCATTTTAATAGTGACAATAACAAACTACTGATATCTAATGACTGATCATCATCAGGTATACTGTGAGCGAGCCTCCGTCCACTCAGGCTGATACCCCAATTTAGCTCCATTAAGATCGAAGCCCGTCCCATCGCCCGCATCGAAGCCGCTCTCATACGCACCATAGCTGATCAGCTCGATGTTCTCCAACTTAGCACCCGCATCCGTCTGCGCCCACAGGCTGAGGCCAATGGTATTCTTGTCGCGGTTGTTGATAATACCAGGTGGGATGGGAAACGTTGTTTGCGGCCCCAGATATGGAACATATTTGCCATATTGGTATCCATTGATGAAGAGCTGGATGCGCACCGGGTCGACAGTCGACGGTGAGGTGAATTGGATACCGAGAGGAACGTCATAGTTCTTGGGGAGGTCAAGGGTGAAGGTGGTCAGGTAAAATGCGACTCCTATTACCTGGGTTAGATGCGAATAGCAACGAGCAGCGACATCTATTGATCCTTACCTGACTTGTTGAGTCCATCGAGCGGGGATCCATCCGTCCAGCCGTCCGATGACTTCGCCTTGTATCCTGGTAGATGCCAACCTTGACGCTCGGCGAGCAAGCCGCCTTCGTTCATGGGTGCTCTCACAGGGTCAAGCTCATATGCTCCTATTGTCACAAAGAGAACAATGTTCTTAGTCTAGTGCGACGGAGAGAAGGGGCCCAGTGGAGTCCTTACCAGCGGCACCTCCAGCGTTTCCTTGGATCTTCCAGCTCGTGAATGAACCACCATTGAGTGTTGCTCCGAGAAGTCCTCGAGGGTTCTCTACGCCATCACCGGTAGACGTCTCGTCATGTCCGGTGTAGTCGATCTGGGTAAGGAGGTTAACTATGTAGGTTCAAGCTAGGGTATCTGCGTGCTGACTTACCACAACTGTCACCAGATTATCGGTCTGCTTCAGGGTATGGTTGGTGAAGCTGATGACTGCGTTAGACGACGTTTCCTCGGCATCACCTGGAAGCGAGGCCACAAGATCCCCGTTCAGCCAGACATTCCAACCAAAAGCCAGACCTCCTTGCGCAGTCAAGTTCGCTCCAGTCACGTTAGCACCATCGAACCGACCACGATAGATCTTGATGCCGGTATAATAGCCATAATCGGAGGCAAACAAGACAGGCAGACTGAGTGGGTCAACAGGACTCATGGTTGTAGTCTTGTTGCACACCGTCCACTTGGAGTCATCATAGGAAGACAGGGTCTCGGGCAAGGAGTCGCGAACTTTCCATCCGGTCAAACTGGGGAGCGAAATGGTGCTGGTATCGGCCCCACCAATCGATCCCACAAGGCTCCCATAGTCTGTTTTCTTGACGGTGATCTCCTTACCGTTCCATTTGACAGTCTTCGCGGAAGACCCAGCGAATATTTCCACGGTCGTGGCGTTGTCGTTGTCTCCAACCAAATCCACAACGCTTCTAGAGATACTCACATTGCGGACTAGGTATGGGCCCAGCACAAATATCTGCTGTTCCGGTGTCACATAAGGGTCTGTTGTGGTTGGTGGTGCCCAGAATCGGAATGCCGTCTCCGTCTCCAGGAGATAGAAAATGGCGCCATTGGAGAACTTCACGACGCTGCTACCACTGCCTTGAGTGTAAGTGTAAGAGGTAATAGTCCGATTACCTGAACTGCTAGTCAGGTTCACCGAATCACCATATTCCTCGAAGGTCAGGTTAGTCGTGTTCTTGAAGGCAAACGTCACCTCCTGTCCAGAGCGTGCATAGAGCACGACAACATCAGTGTCTCCAAAAGTGCCGTATGTCGCGATGTCGGTTGACACATACAAGAGCGTGTTATGACCGAGTGGGTAATCAGTCGAGATCACCTTGCTTTGCCTGCCTTGCAGATTAATATTGGGTAAGGTGAACGCGCCCGCAGAAGTATTCACATTCAGGGAAAACGTGATGTCTGTCTGCGAGGATGTGGTAGCCTGCTGCACGACATGGAAACCGGCGGTCGTGTTGGGATTCCGAAGCACCCATGTGTATGCTGAGGTCGTCGATGTGTAAGTGGTGCCATTCCCTTCCATTTCGACTCCCAGCAAGCCAGAAGAAACTCGAGTGAACAGACCAACGAGCTTCGTCTGACTGAGCTTGTCTCTGATTTGTCTAGACTCTCTAAGAGGAGCGCTGTAGTCGTCTACAGCCAGTAAGTATGGCTTCGCCTGCGGAACCTAACGGGAGTACTTACATGAGGTATACACCACAGGTGCAGCTAGATGGCCCCAGTTTGTACCCCCGTACAGCATGTACAGGTTCTGGAGGGTGACCCGCTGACCAATATTGTTCTTGTAGTACACATCCGCAAATTGTGGACTCAGCTCACTCGTGCACTGATCGTAGAAAGAGTCGGCGCCCCAGGCAGAGAACCAGCCACCTTCGAACTCAGGCAAGTATTCGGGCTGCGTGTAGCTGGTGTTTTGGAACCATTGATAATAGTTCCGTACGACTGAAAATCCTGTGGAAGGGTTGGTGCAACTGAGCCCTCCCGGGTACGAGTCTAAGCCGTAGACGTTGACCGCACCACCCACATCCTCATAGTCTGTCGACCAACTTCGAGATCGTTGGCCTTTCTCGTTGCTAGTGAAGGGAACGTCCACGCCGGCAGCTCGAAATGCCTCCTCAATCTGCTCCATATACTCGACCAAGGTATTGGTCGCAGAATGCGTGGTCTCCTGAAGTTCATTCTCGATCTGGTTGAGAATGACTGGCCCACCGTTTGTGATGGAGTTTTCCGCAATGATATTACCAATACGCTCAATCCAGGGAGTCCATGCCTGGTGATATGTCGCATCGCTCGTTCTCAACTCACCACCGCTCCCGTCGCTCAGGTATAGAGCTAGACCACCTCCGTTGAATTCAGCATTGCAGTAGGGCCCAGCACTGGTTATATATCAGCAATCTCCGAGGAAACGGTGAGAAACTATGTCTAACCGTGCGATGATGTAAATTCCGGCCTCTTGGGCATAGTCGAATAGGCGCTGGATATTGTGTGCTCCGGTCTCAAAGTCATATGTCCCATTGATTGGAGAGTGATAGTCCCAGAAGAAATATAGACTATGTGACAGCCGTCAGAAGTCACGGGTCTGGAAGAACTCTTGGACATCCACATTGCACAAACCTAACAGTGTTGAAGCCATGTGCGCGCATCTTCTGAAAGACATCAAGCCACATTTCCGGAACGGGCAATCGGGGATAATGGAACTCTCCGGAATAGACAAACAAGCGATTGCCATTGACGGTCAGACTATAAGGGTCCCAGGCGACCAGATCTGTCAGACCATCTGTAGTCGCCCGGATTTGGGCGACCAAGATGGCCCAGCACGAGAGTATGAACTGCAGCTTCATGATATTATCGCCCGCGCGCAATAATTTTCTAGCATCTATGCCGTATCCTCACATTATATATCATCGGCGATTGCACCGCCGAGCCGGTTAAAGAATCGTGGGTTTGACACCAGTTCGCGCTATTAACCACGCGAGAAAACGGCGAATTGGACATGGAAGGAAGTGGCGCGAAATGTTCATGCAGAAATGGCACGCATATGCAGGTTCAATTACTCCCAACTGCCATGGGGGCTGCCCCTATGCGGGTGGATTGGTGGAATAATACTTTTAATTCCTAAATCGGGCCAATTCTACCCCGACATTCATCACGTCAGGAGAGGAGAGACTGGGAATTTCCCCGGCGGGATTGCGGGGTAAGAAATGGGGTTTGGTAAGATACCCCTTTTTGCATGTTTCTCTGAAGGACAGGATACCGACTCCATCATTATACATAGTGTACATGATTCAGCTTGTGCGCTTCACACAGTGGACGACCTGAAGATGCAGGTTCAGATAATAGGCTTAATTTTCGGCTTCCCCGCTAATATCGGGCAGAAGATCTCTGACCTCCTCTGCGTTCCAAAGCTACCTGCACAGACCATGTGCAGCCGTGACCCTTTTCTTCTACATACATAATTGTTCTTCTTTGGCGTGCAATGTTGCCATGGTGCAATCATGGTGGTGTCTAGAAGAGAGCTGAGCTCCCAGCCGCACTCGTTGAAGACCAGATCGGATTCCACATTACTCAGTGGAGTGGAGAAGCAGACACCAACAACATTCTGTTGGGGAACTGAGGGATACAAGCTCTCCCCAGTCCCCTTGCCAAAACAAGGGATGAACAAATGAAAGAAAATGGGTAGTCGGAGCGCATGCTTGCCACGCGGCAAGTATTGAGAAGCCATATGAGCTTACATGCTGGCACCTATCTGTGTAGGTTCACTCAAGGTACTACAGACTATGTCATTGAGCATTACTACTTCCCGATCGGGATCGACAGTGGCCAGTCCGGAGCCTACACTGTGCAGTGTGCACAGCCAAAAGTGGATAGCAGGACAGTGGAAATCGCATCAAAGTTTGCACGGAAGCACACCCCTTTTTGGGGCAAACCTCGGCAGCAGCTTATCGGAGCTTATCACTAATCGGTCCAGCCGCCCCACGGCAAGTTTTTCCGCTGCCGCCCTGCCTTTCTTTAAGCCTTCTGGAATCCCGCCCTTTTGTTGTAGGCGATCCTTCATGCATAGACCATCATAGACTGTGTCGTTTTCTTTTCTGTACATATTCCTTCGTTTGATCATAATATTTTTTGCTCTCAGAATTTCTACATGGAGGCCATTCGCTCTTTGGCGAGCTCCCTTTGGGAGTCCGTCACCTTCTGGAAAGCTGCTGCCATCTTCTTCGCTTTACTCAACCTGAAGACTCTCCCCATGATTTGGCATGTACGTCGCATTCGGACCATTCGCGTATCTTCATTATTTGTATTAAGTTGCTGACAACTCTAGGTTCGCGTGTACCGCTACTTCTTCAAGCATGGCTACCTCATCACCCCTGCTGTCGAACAGCCCGCCCGTCCCTGCACAGAGGTTCTCGAGCCCGTCAGCATCTACTCTCGCGCCCCCATCATGGAACTCGACTTCAACATGCACAAATCCAACTCGACCTACTTCTCCGATCTCGATGTCTCCCGTACCGCTCTCATGTCCAGTATCGTTGTGAAGGGAGCTGCGCTCCTAGAAAAGCGTCTGCAGGAACAAGGAAAGAAGGGTTTCTTGGGTTTCATTCTGGGCAGCGTCTACACCACCTTCAAGCGAGAGATCCCCGCATACGCCAAGTACGAGGTCAAGTCGCATGTGGCCAGTTTCGACCAGAAGTGGATCTACATCGTCACCTACTTTCTGAAGCCGGGTAAGGGAAAGAAGGGCCAGGATGACCCCGAGGCGCTGAAGAAGAGACTCTACGCTGTGTCCATCAGCAAGTACGTTCTGAAGAAGGGCCGCTACACCGTTCCTCCCAAGGATGCCTTCGAGGCTGCGGGGTACACTCCGTTCCTCTTCCCCACGGCTGCTAATGGCCATGCTACTGGCGCTGAGAATGGTCACGCGAACGGGGATGCCGTTCAGCGTAAGGAGACCGCTGCTGCCAATGGTACCTCGGATGAGTGGGAGCGTTTGAAGGCCGAGATTGATCGGGGCATGACTGTTGTGGAGCCAATTGTTGAGCAGGAGGATAGGCTCCTGGAGGACTATGTTCACAAGATGACCAAGCCTGGCTTTGCCTAGAGGATTGATATGTTTGTATTTGATAGATCGTTATAGATAGATATCATTTTACTGCGAAGGCTAGAGCGATAGAACAGAACATAATATATTATCATGTCATTTATACATGGCTAGGGAAACATTCGATGTTGTTAACCTTGCGCTTCTTCTCGTCAAGAAACCAGCTACTGGGGGTGAGTCCTGATGGTGCTATCTGATTGAAAGCATAGTAAGTACATACTTTGTCTTGCCCCCTGTGACTGAAAGAACTACTTACCAAGTTCGAGGTAACTACTATATTTTCTCCCAACAGCAACCCTTAGCTACCGCATCAACAACGCCTCATCAAGTCAGTCCCAAAACAACCATAGGGGAAGCAGAGGTATGGGCGATTCAGACGACTACTGTACGTAGTAGTACAACAGAGAATGCTGGGTTGGGACGGATGGAGTGTCGAGGATCGCTGGTCTAGTCTATACACAAACTAGGCCTGTCTCTTAGCGCTGAGGATATTTAGGAATGGATACTATAGTGCATATCGAATTAGTCTTCCATACGACAAGTTCATCAAACATACCCTCCACTTGCACCCAGATAAAGTGCTCCACAGGCGGATCGATCGCTCGGTCGCCCTGGGACGCTGTATAATTGGTCAATTATGATAAAGCTAGGCTATACTCGGCTAGCGTGACTCCAGAGTCAGGCACTCACATCAGGTGACCGGGCGGTGTCTCTATACCCCAGCAGCAGCAGCAGTAGTGTTTGTTTCTACGTTTTCCTTTTTGAAAAAGACGCGCCTGCAGACCACTTAACCACACAAGGGATGGATTTTGATGATATAGCGTTGAATCACTTTGATGGGCTGAAGAAAGAATGGGTAGAACTGTGTTCGAGATCTGCTAGGGGGATCTGCGGACTGGCCAACAAGTACCGCAACCGAGATGATTGCTTGCTTCGGTCAATGCACAGCGGATCGTTCAACTTTAGTTTGCGTCTACACTGGGAGGATGGCGGCGATGACTGGCTGATTCGGTTTCCGCTTCCAGGGAAATCCATGTTCCCGGAAGAGAAAGTTCGCGGAGAAGCCATACTTATGACATATATCGCAGACAACACGACAATTCCCGTTCCCCGAGTAATTGCCTCCGGGACAGCAGATGAGAATCCTACAGGTCTGGGCCCCTTCATTATCATGACCTGGATCGAAGGGAGGAAGATGTCGGAACTACTCCGGACAAGTGATTCATCCGACAAGGAGGAAACCCTCAACCCAGATATCGACGAGGAGACGCTCAAGGCCCTGTACGGGCAAATGGCGCAGGTCCTGCTGGAACTGTGGAAACTCGACTTCGATTGCATTGGTAGCCTGAGTAACAACGAAGTGACTGGCAAGCCGCAAGTGACCAAACGGCCCCTAACCCTCGCTATGAACGAGCTGGTCCGGACATGCGGGCTGACTGATCTTGACCCACCGAGAACCTATAACAGCTCCACAGACTACATCGTCTCGCTTCTCGAGTTGCAGTCAAAGCATCTTCAGCAACAAAGAAACAGTATCTACGATGCCATGGACTGTCGCGAGAAATACGCTTGTCGTCATCTGATGAAGGCGTCAGTATTGAACTTTCTGTCCCTTGAAGATAATTATGGACCCTTCAAGTTATTCTGCGATGATCTATGCCCTGGCAACGTTCTGGTCAATGACTTCCTTCAGATCACCGGCATTATTGATTGGGAATTCTGTTATGCGGCCCCGGCCCAATTTGCCGGCAGTATCCCGTGGTGGCTACTTCTGGAGCGACCACATCGGATCATCTACAATTCTGGCGTAAAGGCGTTCTTCGAGGATTTTTTACCGAAAGCAGACCTCTTCTTGCAGTGCATGGAGGCGAAGGAGACAGAGTTGGGGATTGACCCTTCTGATCATAATCTGTCAGTACGAATGCGCCGGTCAATTCAGGACAGAAGCGCGTGGTTCAATATGGCATGTCGCATGGTACCGTCAGTCGATATGATATACTGGGACTTATTAGATGAATACTGCTGGGGTCCGCGTAAGTCAATTGCAGAGAGGGTATACAACGCTACCACCGCCCCTGAGATGCATAAGGCTCGTGAGGACTTCGTCAAGGCGAAGATAAAACAACTGCAGCAATATTATGCAGAGCTCGGAGACGAGACCGTTGTCTCCTACGAAGAAGAACAGACCAGTGAAACGGAAGACTTTATACAGGAATATAAAGTGAGTTGTAACGGAATTCTATATGTCATACTCTTTCTAACCGTGAAATATAGAAACCTCAATTGGAGATGAGTGCGAGCCTATTCATAGCAACTGCCTTGGGTATTACAGCCTTGGCAATCACCGCGGCGCGTATTATCATGAGACAGAGTCGTGTGTGATGGGACTTCAGAACGAATATCTTCTTTTTCCCTTTGTACAAATTGCAAGGCTACCCTGGACATTCACTAGATAATGTGTCTCAGGTCCGGTGGGGCCAAGTACGATCCTGCATGATGACTAGTAACTTTATGTAGCTTATCAGATTTGCAAGTGAATAACAGTCTGCATCGCAGGATCCACTGACATGTGTTAAATGAGAGCAAAGTCATTATTCCAACAACACTGCACAGTGTGCAAATCGGGTCACCTGATTTGCCTGTTCTCGTCGTTTCTTCCTTGGATTGAGATCACCAACACACAAGCACACGATACACACTTCAATCAGAAACCTCTCTCAAGCACTCACGAGTTCCATCTACAGGCTTTTTTTATATAAGGTTTCATGCTTGTCAAATACGGAATAGCAGATATTATTCTCGAGTATTAAGCTCAGGTATCAAACAACTAATCACTCGCATCCATCAACTGACATATTACCACAACCATTAGTCTTCATTATCGTCAAAGAGCCCCAGGGAGAGCACTGCACGACTACCAACAGCGATACTATATCCTAGAACTGATCATTTCTCATTATACTCCTGTGGGTGGCTCTCTGCGTGCCCTTCCGCCAGGTTCTCCGCATGCTCATAGAATCTGGGCAGTGGTTCCAACTTCTGCCGAAGTACCCAAACGCGGAAATGCCACCATGCATTCTTCAATTGGTAGGATGCGTGCTTGCGCGTCGAGACTGAAAAGACTTGATCAAGCTCTTCCAGTGTGAGTTCTATCCAACATTAGCTTTAGCCCCCAACTGTGACAATATTCAGTACTTACCCTTAGTCTCTGGCACAAACAGCAGGACCAGGAACCATCCGATTGCACACCATGCGGCATACCATCCGAATGCACCCTGAGGCTTGAATGCTCTTAGGAGCATAGGCCAGGTAAACGACAGAATGAAGTTGAAACACCATGTTGTCGCAGTGGCCCATGACATGCCAACCTCACGCACCTGCAGTGGGAATGCTTCGGCAGAATAGGTGAACGGCACAGGTCCCTCACCCGGGGAATAAAATACCTCGAACAGATACATGCCCGTTGTGACCATGGCCACCCGCTTCTTACTGGTGTCGTTGTCCGGCTCAATCCAGAATGAAAAGCCACTCCACAGAAGGCAGATGGCTAAAAATGGAAACGTGAAGAGCAGCAGGTTCCGGCGGCCCCAGGTGTCAATGGTGAAGAATGCTGGGAGTGCAAAAACCCAATTCAAGATCCCTGTTCCCATGCTGGCCAATAGGGCTTGCTGGATACTATATCCGGAATCTTGAAATATGGTTGTGGAATAGTAAGCTATCACATTCACTCCACAGAATTGTTGAAGAAACATGACAATCCAGCTAGCAAGTGTGGCACGACGATTGCGTGGGATTGTAAAGAGCTCGAGGAACATGGAGAAGAAGTTCTTGCCGGTGTTGACTTTCCGTTCCAGCTCCACCTGGACGTACGCATAGTACAAGTCTCGGGCCGCCTGCAGATCAGTGGGGCGGAGAGTGCGGAAAGACTCGAAAGCCTGGGGAATTCGGTTGTGTTGAATAAGCCACCGAGGGGACTCCGGGCAGAAGTAGACTTGCGCGCAGACGACGAGGGGCAGGACCACTGTGGATCCAAGCATAAGACGCCATGAAAGGTCCCTCGATACGCCCATAAAGGCAACGCCCATGATATTACCAAGCATAATGCCGAATGCTGTCCACATCTGCCACATCATAACAAGGGCACCTCGGATGGGGGCCGGGGAACACTCAGCCGCATACACGGGCACTGTCGATGATTTGGAACCAATACCAAGGCCAAGGACAAACCGTGCAATGAAGAGGTTAACCCAGGAATTAGCCACGCCTTCCCAGATGGAAGCTACTGCCGCAATAAAGCAGGACCAGAAAATTGTCCCACGTCGCGCCAAATATCTGTTCATTGGCTCGGTAAGCCAACAACCGAGTATTGCACACGCTAGATAAGGTGCGCCCACGACGAGCCCAGTAAGGTAATCTTGCATTTGCTCTGAAAATCGGGGTGCAGTGATCCCAAGTTCCTACTGGTTATTAGTATGGGCCACTTGTGTATAAAGACGAGAGAGCACTTACATCGAGATAGATTGCCTGAGCGCCATTGTTGACAGTCTCATCCATACCTTGTACAGCGGCTGCAAGAGAGCACATGGCTTTAGAGAAGCATCGTCAGTATTGGGATGAGAAAGGTCATGACAGGTAGTACTGATAAAAGCACCTACATGCCATGAAGTAAAGCTGCCAAGGTTGCGACCATTTATGGGTCTGTTCCCGCCGGAGGGTCTCCTTGTCCGCCTCGCTCAGGTCAGGAAGGTCCAAGGCGCCCTGCGGATTCTGTGAGATCAAGGCGCCCTTGCGGAATTCGTCCAAGTGGGCTTCGAGACCGTACTGGCGACAAAAGCGCTCCACGTCGTCGAGGAGTTGCTCTCGCGGCACGCCTGCCAAGGGGTTTTCAAAGACGGCGTTGAGACCGCCCGAGCGCCCTTCGATATCGAAGACATTGTGTTGCTGCTGTGGCTTTTCAGCGTGCTCAACGCTGGCGGGGTTTTCGTCCTTGTGAACGGCTTTCGCCGTGACCCCTTCTCCGTCCATTGCGAGAGGTCAGCTAAACACAGGATGCTCACACAGTAGACGCGCTTAAAGTCTTGTTGACGAGGTATCAAATCACGATTCAGAGGGGAGGTGGTTCAAGTAATGGAGAGGAATCGGAAGGCCGATACCTTGAACTTTCTACGCGACTGTGGCTTGGAGGCCAACAAGAACATACTTCAGTCGCAAGACTTGGGGCTTGGGCGGCTTGACAATCACCTTTGCACGTTTCAGGGTCAATCAAAGTCCTCCGGGGTGGTGGGAGAGACCCCGGCCATTTATCGAATCTCACGCGAGAGCCTTGTCATAAAGGGTGGATCCCGTCAGTGTATTTGTCGAATGACGACGAGACATCGACTTGGTCAAAACGGCGCATGGGCACAGAGTTCGACTAATCGTTGAGTTCTTTGATGCGGCTTCTACCGACCACTACGCGTGTGCCAGCCAACCAGGCGGCATCTGGTTGGATTGGAAATACTTTGACCATAAGGCTCCGTTACATCCTAGTCGATGTGGACACAAGGAACTGGATTGGATTGGTCACTTTGGACCAGGATGGCCCATTTCATGCCGTCATTCGAGGATGCATCAAAGGAGGCCAGTCTCCGCAAAGGAGGGGAATGAGGGGAGCACCGAAGCCGGCGTCTGTGATTGCGGTCGGGCGCCGACAAGACATACCCCAGATAGGTATGAGGACATGGGGGGGGAGACCAGAGTCAACCATGGATAAGGTCAGTGTACATGGACGATTGAATAGCGTGAAAGCAGATCCCCAGCTGGGGAAACCCCACGGGGATTGGTAGGCCAGTCCAGATGGACGGGATGCAGCAATGGTCAGGCCACGAGACAGCCGTGGGTCTGCCTAACCCAACTTCGGTTGCTTACAAGAGATATGATTTGAGTGCAATCCCACGCTACGGAAAGCTAACGTGAGCCGGTCGGGGGTTAGTGAAGCTAGGGAATTTAATCGATTTGCCTGTCACATTCCCGTTACCATTGTTAGGTTGTTACACGCCGGGATTTCCTAATGCGGCGGTGACTCGGCCTCAGGCCCCCACCAGTGGCCACGTGATCTCCACCTTTTAGTGATGCCCCAATCCAACCGCACACAGGTTACCCGACATCAGGATCAGGGAGTTGTGCTCGTACGGAGTGAAATAACTCTTTTGACTTCATGGGTCATTGGTTGCTTGTGTCGCATTGGCTCCCTTGGCGGTGTTCCATCTGATCCAGAGCACGTAGGTGGCGGCCGATCTATCCGACGTGGCGCTGCCGGCCAAAGCTACCAAAGCTTCCCACGGCTCCTGGTGCTTGCAGATGACCGCGCCCAGCCCTTGGCTCCTCCAATCGCTGCCACTCGCCCGCAAGCCTTCCTGAGCCAAACAGAAACAGAGCGGTCGGGGTAATCCGGCAGGGAGGCGTGGTCTGACAGCCTCTCCCTCATCTTCCTCATCACATGGAAGACAGTATAGTAGTACCTTGCACTGATGCACGACTTTCAGCCTTAAGGCTCCAACACGAACATTCATACGTGCTCTAGAGACGCTGAGATATCCATGCGTCAGTCCACGTGTTCTGAGATATGGTACGCCTAATTGGGCGTCATGCAATGAACCAAAAGGGATACCCGGATGGCTGTCAGAATGAGAGACCACGCTAGATACAAGCGAAATGTATGGATTGCGGGGGAAAGGGTGGAGAAATCGGGGCGGAAATACGCTGCCAATTACCCTCCTTGCGGCCTAGAATTCAGGCCAAAGCGATTTCGTGCGGGTGCGCTTTGCAGCATACAGTCGAGTGCTATAGAGTAGGAAAGCAGTTATACACGTGGTAGTAAGCCCTGACATTTCCGTGCTGTTTCGAGATATAACATGTCGCATAATATCTCGTATCGCTGAGCAAGGAGGTGTGAGCTTACACAACCAGGTGAAGATCATTACCCTCCTTGGGTGGACCTATACATCCTATTCCTGATGATTGGATGAACAATTAGCAGGACTGTTACATCCAGATTGCACCAATAGAGTGAGCAGCTAAAGCTGGATAACACGAATCAACACTGTCACTTATGTGTTTCGATTCCATGTTCCGCCATGAAATGCCAGTCTCACCTAATTATAGTCCGCGCGTGGAAAGGGGTTACACACGACGTGAAGCCGGCTAGTGTCAGCTACGTCGTCTACTTTCAGCCACCATGAAGATAAGCAAGTAACTATTTTCGCCAAGTTGCACGCCTGTAAGCCACTTGGATCTTTGACTTTCCACAAACTTCTACTGAAGTAAGGCGGTGGATCACCCTTTTTCCGGCCGCAGCCACTGCCGGAGGGGACAGTGCGCAGGGATACAGCACTGGCAGGGTTCACGTTGGGACCATGGCACTGAGAACGGCATCGCAGGTACGGATACAATATCTACTCCCTTGTGTTCTGAGCTTAATTCTCGTATTTCGGAGAGACCTTATTCTTGGTCGGTCGCGGCTTATTCCAGTTTTGGGCGCGGCCTTTAGGACAGGCTGGCCGTGAAGTAATCGTACTGTAGCCTGTCTAGTGTGTGCAACTAACCTAGATACCAGGGTTGGATATCGCATATATGACAGCAACAAGGAGTCTAAACTACGGATTATGATTCCAGAATCTGAAACTTGAATTTGACATTGAGTGGCTAAGATAATAGCATCATGTGTGAAATGGAGCAACTTTCTGAAACCTCGGCATGAGACGAGGAAAGTGCTTGGAAGGAGAAAGCATGCGACCGGCTTATACAACGCCAATTATTAGTTACCTGGTTCCTACCCTTTGGGGCCGAACGCAAACTTCAGGTGAAACTGGGTGTGGCCATAATCGATATACTTTCAGCACGAGTGGTGGCCTAGATTCAACTAGAGCCTCAAGCAGGAAATTGCCGCAAAGAGAGAGATCATTGTAGGCGGTATGTTCGCCTCCTAAATTCCATTTGTTATGAGTGTGACATGCGTGTTGCCTGCAGTTGGACGTCGATCCATGCCGGATTGTTTCAATGACAGGTCCAGAACCCAGTTTGGGTGGATCACTGATCTAACTTTGCAAAGTCACAGGGGGCCAGTGAAACCACTCAGAAAAGTTTTCATTGAAATGATTTAGCGAAAGACTATCATCGTGTCTATGGTACAATTTATTCCGACTCAAGTCTGCTTTTTATTGCTATTTTTCCCGACGAACAGTACATATGTGATTTGACTCAGCTCATGAAATGTCGGTCAAGGTGTATACAGGATGGCAATGCGTTGACAGGATGTCGCATCGACTTTTCGACCAGCTTGCTACGACGGAGACTACTACTCATTGCTGACTAGCCTAGTTTAAGAACGGGATTTCCATGGTTCATCGTTGATCCATATACACTCATTGGTGGGATCTAGTGACCAGAAAGTTGAGCAAGCACGGCCAGAGTTCTTGTGTCCGGGTAGTGCAACGCAAGATCTTGGTCGCTCAGTTACGTGGCGTCGGGCACTCTGGGAATAGCGTCATATGACGCACCGCACATTTCACGATACAATCTGATATCAATTCGAGAGGTCAATGTGGTTTCCTAACAAGGACGTTGTTTCTGATCCCGAGCGAGGTAACAATTGACCATGTCAGAATATATCTATCGGCCATGCATTCTCTTTTTCGCATTTGATATGGACTTATTCAATTGATTAAAATATTCGATTTCAGTGCCCTGTGCAGTCTCCAAGCGTCACAACAATGTCTTCCTCAAATCTTTGGCTTTACGCTTCATCCCGCCTCCGAGATCCCACCGTCACAGACGAGGTCTTCAGCCAATGGTACCAGGAGCATCATGTCCCCGATGTCCTAAAGACAGGCTCCGTGACAAAAGGAGAATTCTTCCGAGCTCTAGGGCCCCAGAAACAGTTTCGCTGGCTTGCCGCATACGACTGCGACGATTTAGATTTCATGGAGCCGGAAAACTTCGCCCGCATCCCGAAAACACACAGCATGTTGGGCACGACCAAGTCGTGTTTGGAAATTGCTGAATTCGACACAAGAATCTTCCAGCAACTCTTCGTACTAAAGAACGGGGAGGGGAATGAGAAGGGGAATACTGGTATGTATGCCAATTTGTTTACGTCTACGTACATCATTGCTAATCAACCACTGTATGTATAGGCCCCGACCGTTATCTATTAACCTGTACCTTCCACTGCGACGACAATGATTACGAGGCGCTCGAGCGCCGCTGCATCGATGGGGATATTCTACATGCTTTTCCGGGGTCGCGATGGCTGAAGATTTTGAGACCGTTCGAGGACGAGGATACCTATCTGGGTTTCATGATTGTGCAGGCGCTCGGGGAGGTTGAGCCGAAGGATTTACTTTGGTTGGAAGATAACTGGCGGTCGTACTTGGCGGAGACGCTGGGGCTGGAGAGGCAGTTCTTGCAGCCGCATTTGTGGGAGCTTTTGAGGAGGTGTGAGAATGGTTCGTAGATGTGGTGGGATTATAAGTAGCTGGGATTTGTTGGGTTTGATGATGCTTCAACTACGTATCTCGAGGTGGAGATGCTCGACATGTCATTGGTAGAATTTGAATTGAAGACTAAAAATGGTACATCGTATATATAATGGAGAAGGACGGTGTTGAAGAAAGAACTTTCCGGTTTTATGTACTCTGTAAGTATATCGGACAAAATATGTCTTCTATTTCTACTAATGGAGCCCAATGGGTGGTCACACAAGCTAACAATAGCTGACCATCATGTTGGTATTATTCGTGACACCCTAGACAGCAGCTGGAACTAACCAGGCCATGCAGCTAGTGTACTGCAGTATACTTGAGGGCATTCTAACAGTGATGACGCTATTCGTGGCACGGAACGGGTAGCACGTTGCGCAGGTGTGCGACATTACTGGAGATACGACAAGGTCTTGAACTACGAGAAATATTTCCCATTGAGATTATGAATGTCATCAGTGCAGTCTTATAATCTTCAGATAGACTTTGACCTCTGCCCAGAAGTCCTCCTTTTGGTGATATGGGGAAAGAGTGTCCCACCACATGGACTGCAAACCACCCTATGTACCTACATACATCTAAGCCCTCAAACAAATTCATGTTAACCCAACACTTAAATAATGTGCCTACCTCCCTCCGGTGATCGCTTAGTTCACAGCTCCACTGGCTTTTGCCCGATACAAACGACCCTAGTAGCCACCACGGCAGCACCAGCCGCAGCTTCCAGCGATGCTTGATGAACGATCTGAGAGAATTCTTTCGCTTCATCCACCTTGCCCTTCCTGGCAAGTGTCCGGGCAGTTTCTTCGCAAGTCACAATATATCCCTCGCAGTCGGCCTTGAGATATTGCTTCAAGTTTTCATATCGATCAATGCTCGTTCGTTTCAGTCCTTCTTGTTCAAAACTCTGCGGAAGACGGCCAATCCATTCCTGCCGTTCGCCGGTATTCCAGAATCGAGAGAGGTACTCCAACGCTTCGATCTTGAGTTCGGGCCTGGCTTTGAAGATCTTCGCCTCTCGGATGTTCAGATCATCCCATTGGATCCATCCTCCGGGCTTTAGCATGCGGGTGATCTTCTGAATGATTGACGAGGGGTCGCCATTCTGGATGACTGGTAGAAGTAGTCGGAGATGTACGAGATCGAACTGTTCCACCAATTCTTCCGGCAGGTCTTCGAAGATATTCCACTGCCGCAGGGTGATATTGGGTGGGAGCCACTCCACCGGGGGCGCCATGTCGAGAGTCAGATCGAGCCCGTCGAGGGTCGCATCGGGAAGCTCCTTTGCCAAGTCTATGAGCCAGATGGCTGTGCCTGTGGCTACATCAGCGATGCGGGGATTTGGAGTCTGCAAGGACTCCCGGATGGTCGGGTGGATATTGAAGCCGAGGTGTTCTTTCCAGAAGTAAAATATTCCATTGAGTCGAAATGCGGCTGCAGTTTCGCTACCAAGGCCGTAGCCGACGTCGTCGGTAACGCGATAGTCGAGCTCGGTTTTGGAGGAAGCCATAATAGTACTAGGTGTCTTTGATCCTTGCACGTTGAGTGGTTTGGTTAGCAGGGGTTCGGCGTGAAGGTCAATGATGCGGTGGCTGGGGATGAGCGCCGATCAGTGTGCCCAACTTTGGCAGATGAAGGCCACTAATGCACCCGCACCCATTATGATCACACGCAAGCTAACTTGAACCATCAGCGGTGAGTATCTGGAGGTTCACGATACGTCGAGTGTTCAGCAACAGACTCGATCTCATAAAGTTCGCGCCCTTTACGGGTTGCAGCACCCCCCAACACAAAAAAGACGAGTTGCGCCTAGTCCTGCAATTTAGTATTTTCTTCTCTGGTGCTTCTTCCCCCAACTTCTGATTAACACGACCAAACGTGCTAAATGCTCCAGGATCCGTTGTTAGCTATGACTTCCAGAAGGTTAAATGTCCGAGTGATATAACGCCATCTGCCTACAGCTTCGGACAGGGTTTGGATGATTTTTCCGACGTAGGGATAACCTGAAGACTGGAGCGTCTTTACACCCTTACTCAGATCTCTGAATGTGAAGGAGTGTCCTGCAAGAAATCAGCATTGCAGCCTTGATCATTCTCGGCGATTGGGGAACTGATGTCGTGTCCAGCGGGCGCCAATTTGGTCAATGATTAAGTTGAATGTCCAGGAGTTAAAGAATGCGCGTCATGCGATGCAGGCGCCCAGATTGTCTAGAAACCGTCACAACATATACTATTCCCCTGGCAGTTTCACTGGATGGTGAAGCTCCACTAGACGTTAACCGAAACATCACATCTGAACCAGGGACGGGGCCAAGTTATGCTCCGACGGTTTTCTTCCGGCGCGACGAATAACAAGGGCGGGTGGTTTGTGCGTCATCGGCTCGCGGATGGCAGTGGAAAGCATCCACAACTGCCCGAATTTGAGCCTTCAGTGGCCGAGGAAGACAGAGGATCTGACTAAGCGGCAGTTTTGAATCGGATGTGCAGCAATCATTGCCGTTTCGAGACGTAAAGAAGCTATACGCAACCACTTCTGCTTTGTTCTGCGCCTCACCTCGCACACACTTTGCTTCGGTTCAGGTCTGCTTCGGAAACACAATTTTAGGTGTACTCGGCGGCCCGTGCTTCTATTCTTTGCATAACTCCACCGTTGCAGGGGAAAATTCGGACAGCGCGGAGCCCGGACGAGATCACAACCAGACAAACCCTGCCATATTCCACGCAACAACAGCCTCCCGTGGTCTACCTTGTCGAAGAGATTACGAATCACTACACAGATAGAGTGTCAATGACAGTGACTAAAAATCAGCCCTGGCCTTGGCTTGCCAGATGAAACCACTGAGCCACCATCCAGAATCGGCGGAAGCAACAGCCAAGGCGCGAAGAATACCCCAGACCCGCGGACGCTGTCCGCATCCCTGATCTGATAACGTCAGACGCTCCATGTGTACTAATTGCATGACAATGATTCGTGATGCGTGCCGATCATCCACCTTCCAGGGTCAAGTTCCCTGAGCTTCTATCCTCCGCTGCGGATCCACGTACGCGGCGCCAAGAAGCTTCCATTGCCCAGCCGGCATCTCGGAGTCCCTCTAGGGTTTCCAATTGCCGCCAGGGTACGCGATGACGAGTCCTCTGACAGTTGAGATATCAAAAATCTTCGCTAGGCAGTGAGTACGGCTCACAGGGTAGCCTGACGGCCACGCCAGTATGGGACTGGATGACGCGGCTATAGCAGAGGCATCAACAATGTTGAGCATAAATATCAAGACCCTCAGCCACGACTTGAAGGCCATCAACAGCACGATCGCAGCTCAATTATCTCGATCAATCAAATAGCTTCATCATGCATTTCTCCAAGCTCCTCACTCTCACCGCGGCTACTCTGGCTTTCGCCCACCCCGGCGAGAAACATGACCATGAGGCCGTCAAGCGGGAGATTCGCCTTCGCGATGCCCTCGCTGAGCAGGCCAGACATGGTGTCAATGCTTGCTCCAACAGCCACCAGGCTAGGCAGGTTCAGCAGCGCTCTGTCTCCCGCCGCGCTAACACTGCCCGTGAGCTGCGCTCCAAGAGGGGCGTGACTGCTGGTAAGCAGGCCTGAATTGGCAAACCGTGATTGCATCGTCTAACCAGAGATAGCTCCCCACAAGTTCCGCCGGAACCTCGCGGCCCTCGAAAAGTGGGAAGCCATCAACCACAACAAGACCGGCCTCCTTGACTACTCCCCCCAGACTTCCGAGGCCGATATCTTCGGCGCCAACACCAGCTCCATCCTCACTCCCACCATCACCGATGGCCCCTACTACGTCTGGGGTGAAGTGATCCGTCAGAACGTCAAGGAGGATAAGTACTGTGACGGTGTCGACCTCTTCCTCGAGGTGCAATACATCGATGTCAACACTTGCCTGCCTGTGCAGGGTGCTCTGGTCGACATCTGGAACGCCAACGCTACCGGTGTTTACAGGTATGGTGCTTTTTCCATCCTATCATCCGATCATAGCTAAGTATGTAGTGGTATCTCCACCAGTGGCAACTACGCCGCCGACGGCTGGGACTCGACCTTCCTCCGTGGTATCCAAGAGACCGATGAGGATGGTGTTGTCACCTTCCAGACCATCTTCCCCGGTCACTACGACGGCCGCGCCATCCACACCCATCTCCTGACTCACCTCAACTCCACTATCAACCGCAACAACGGCACCCTCCAAGTGGGCACTGGCAGCGTCGCCCACATCGGCCAGCTCTTCTGGAACGAGGTCCTGCGTACCGCTGTTGAGAACACCTACCCCTACACCACCAACACTCAGGATATCACTAGCAATGCCGACGACATGTGGAGTGTCGAGCAGGCCACCAGCGCCTACGATCCCTTCCCGGAGTTCCTGTACCTCGGTGACAGCATTGAGGACGGTTTGTTCGCCTGGATCCAGATTGGTATCAACACTACTGCCGACTACACCGACAACTCCTACTACAGCATTGCTGCTTACTACGATGAAAACGGCGGTCACGAGAACTCGGACAGCGCTGCCATGGGTGGTGGCTCTGGTGGTGGCGGTGCTCCTTCGGGTTCCATGTCCATGTCCGGTGCTATGCCCTCTTCTACCAGTGCTTGAGGGTTCTGAAAATCGCTGAGCATGCGTCTACGGGACGGGATTTACTTTCTACTGTAATAACATTTTTCTCATTATATGTATTGAGCAGTTAGACAATAGACTCTTCACTAGTCTTAAAGCAATTGTTGGGAATACTATACCCCATCTCCAAGATCGAGCAGCCAATCCACTCCTAAGTGATGTAAATATTGGTATTGGTCTACGTTATGGCACAGAGTATGGATCACAATGTATCGACCCGAGCAGCCCCTTTCACCGAGACGAACCCTCGGCAAGAGTGAGCCCGGAACTATGCCCCGCCGCCGATAGAACAACCAAAGCGCCCCTAAAATCTGACAGCGTGCTCCATCTGACCGACTATCAGCAGCTGTTGTGCAACGTGAACGCTCAGACCCGTGCAAATCACAACAAATCCTGTCCATCAACTCTCTAGCCACGTATGCTAAGCTTTTGTGCTAGTAAGCACTATGGTGTTAGTTGAAGCTTGGACAAGAGGCACCATGACCGAACCTGCTGCACGGGGCGCGGCCAACTATCCGGGAAATCCCTCAAATCCCTGTCGAGCCGCCTTCAGCCCTATCGGGAGGGAGGATGCATCCCTGTTAGAGGCCAGACGGGCTGATAGCGTCATTTCAAGCTGCACGATGACCTACTAAACTGCGACCGTCCATGTCTCGAAGAGTAATTTCCTCCGGTGCGTGCTCACCTGATTCTTAGCGGGCTAGCTCGGTGTGCTGGGTTCTTCCACCTTTTCCCTACAACTATTTGCTTTCTTTGGCGAAGATGGTCACAGTGGTATCCTTAGAACATTCAGGATGGCACCGCGAATTCACATTCAAGTCAATCAACAACCAGGGAGAAATTGTACGTCGTCGGATTATGCAGAGGTACTCTCAGCAAACAGCAGCCATGTCATCACAGATGGTCACCTTGACGGCAATGTCATTGTATCGATGCCAGGCAATGAGACTGCCAGTTCATCGCAACAATTACTCGTCGAAGTGACCTTTGAAGGTAAATGTCCCATTGAAGAAATTATTCTCTGGGTTTAACCCGCTATACCAGGTCATCTATCAACAGCAGTCAATCTGAATGTCTCAACGCAGCTGCTGCGACTCGCAAAGAATATCACAGTAAATTGGCCTTGCGCTCTTTCCGATTATATCTTGGTATTAACTCAGTTCAGCTCCTCCGAGCATCCGATGTGCGCGAACTAGCGCAACAACACACCACCGAAACAGCACGCACAATCCTGCACCCCTTCCACTTCAACATCCCCCGAACCGCCAACTCCGTCTCGTCCGACGAATATGACACCACTCCTCTACCCCCATCACTCTCCTTCAAACCCATGCCAGTCTACAATTCCAACGATCTGATACTGCGCGGGCAAGGCCGTATAGAATACTTCTTGAAAGCCCGACTCTTCGACGACGAAGAATGCATCGCCGAGACTGAAGCGCCAGTAACGTTTGCACCGGCTCGAGAATGTGCCCCTCCCATTTGCATTCCCGACTTTCCTGGCGAATATAACCTCGCATCGTCACGAAGTGTTCGCGATAGATTACACCGCCGTGATCTATACTATCTATCCGTTCAGACTGGGGAACCTGCCCCGCTGTACCTAAACAAGTCAGGAATGGTGTCTACGGTAGTTCCACTAAAGTGGCACTATCGCTGTCTAGATCCATCGCAACAACACGCAAATATTCCCGGGATATATGCCAGCATCCAGACGTCGCTTCGCGCGACGACCTTTGTTTCTGTGTCTCCGCAAGATCGACTCCCATTAGAGGGGGACGCCAACAAGTTGCTGGATTTTAAGCTTGTTGCGAATACGACAGGGACGGGTTGTACTCAGGTGCGAAAGTTGCGCATCGCATCGTGGGAGGACTGCGGTCCTTACAAGCAGGGTACGTGATGCGCTCTCAGTGGTCTTTATCACTCCTGACTCTGTATGGTATGACAGACCAACCGACCACATACCAAGCAACCACCCCCCTGATCCTCAACTTCGACGCGCCCGATTACCTCCCTCCTACATTTACCCATCCGTACATCTCCCGACGGTACAGCCTCTCCATCTTCGTTTCGGTCGATGTGGATAACTCGAGGAATGCGAGTTTCCAATTACGGGTTCCCGTGCAGGTGTCGTATGACCGGGGCGAATGCGCGACAGAGTGTATGGATGAGCCATTCCCATTGTATCCTGAAATCCTTCCGCCCTATATCAAGTGAGAGTCAGGCGTACATCTTCGATTTAATTTATAATTCACACTAATAATGAGTCTAATATCATACTCGGCCGATGGAGTTGGGTTGCATCGGTATAGCGGAGTTTTCTGGCCTTCGTGCATTGACTGCAGATATAGTGCGTAGCCCGTCAAAGTAGCAATGGAACCTAGGTAGATCCATTCGGAGACCAGCAAGAATGGACGTATAGCACGGTTTTCCTATGCACGAAGCATGGATTGTAGGGTGATTCCGGAAACAACAAGTGGCCCTACGGCTAATCGGCAAATCGCTGGCATTGGGCCATCACATCGCTCAGCCCTATGCGGTGCCAGAAGCGGGGTAAGTGATTGATTGGGTGCATTCCCCTCGACCCCTGTCGCAACTAATTTCGGGGCTTCCACGGAGTAACTATGCATGTCCTTATCAGCCACTCATAATGGGCGCGTCGGGGTCTGTTGACTTTATCCTTGACGGTCGTTGAGGGGGGGAGGAACCTGCATAAGACACAGAAGCGGTCGTGAAACCTCTACTAAGGCCCCTGTCATAATAATACCATTCAAAAAGCAAGCCATGTGAAACTCGTACATAGTTCGAAAATCATCTCACACATATCTCACATACTGTCACATCATAACACATACAAAATCTCATCCCATATACAGCCATATAATCTACAACGACAGCACCAACTGCCTCAACTTCTCAAAATCAGGAAGTCCCAATCCCGTCACCGGATCCCATCCGACCGTGGCATTCCAATGCGCCCACGGGATAATGCCTGCACCCGCAACAGCCTCATCACTCTGCGGATCAATGCCATTGCACCCGATCGATTGTCCCGCCGTGACATCAGTCAGCGCCTTGTACCCCTTACTGTACAGCAGGGGGTTCAAGAAACCAAGCGTGGACTTGCCCGCCCGCAGACGAGCATCGTTCAACATGCCCACTAGCGCAGAGAACAGAGGACATGCGGCGGAAGTACCGCCGGAGCCGTAACGGGCGCCGTAGAAGATAACTTCGTACCTGTGGACCTTGTTAGGTTCTATTCTTGTAGTATCATCAAAGAGGGGGTTGGGCTTACGAAGGCTCAAAGCTATGGGCCGAAACATCGGGAAATCCGCGACCGCTAAAGTTAGCGAATTGTGAGTAATACTGCTTCGTCTCGTTGGTGATGTGGTGCGCCAGGTAGTTCTGCACGGCTTCCTTCTGGAACCAGGCTCGCTCGAAGTAGTTGCTGAAACCACCGGAACTGGCTTCCCAGGCAATTTCGGGCGCGTAGGACATGGTGCCTCCTACGGC